GGCAATTAAAAAACCTACAACCCTGCAAGGCAAATATAGTACTATATAGTTAATTTCAGGAAGCTCAGATAAATTATATCCTTACTTTACGTATGTTGGACCAGTGCAAAACTTTGTGTCTCACTTGAAATAAAATATTATTTCATTCACATTTTATAGTAAAAGTTCTTTATGGAATCATCCCTGCTTTGTACTTTTATTTTTACAAGCTGGTGCATTTCTTTTTCATAGAAACTGAAAGATCGGTCAGATCGAATGTTGATCGCCCAGGTAAAAATCATCATGTTTATATTGAACAAATCATTTTTTACTGCTTGGAGAGCACAAGAACACAGTCCGAATGTACGAACAGAATGTTTTTTGTTACAATTCCAACACTCAGGTGCTTTCGAAACTCGTATAACATAAAAATGAATTTTCCTTTCTTCATATTCAGAATCTACAATGTGATATGAATCCACAGAATGCACAAATTGACTTAAATTAACAGTGACCAAAACTTGTGAGTACATTGATTAGGATATTATGCATTTATAGCGATTCAAAATTGAATGTGTAAAGACCTAAAAAATATATGTAAAAAATATATGTAGTGACGCCAGAGCATAATAAAGTATCAACAGCAAAATGCATAGCATGATGTTTAAAGTATTAAGTGAGTCTACCGATAACAGAATTGATCAGATTTAGTATACTGCTAGGGAAAATTTTTGAAAACAGGTGTTTAAATTTGTAGAGACTGAAAGTATCTACGAAGAGAGTTATTGAATTTATTTTTGATTAATTCTTAATTTTACTACTAAATATTCTTACTAAATATAATTTCTTAAGTTGATACCCTTCAAGTTTTATTTTATATTATACTCCGCATATATAATATAAAATTATATAACTCCGCACTCTACATATCTTTCGATAGATTTGTAACATTATGTTAAAACAAATATCTTAATCGAAGTACGTGAGATCTGACTCATTTCTAAAAATCGGATACAAACTTTTGCACTGACCTAATACATTTTATTACTTTATAAATAAAAAAAGAAATATAGAACTGAATTCATTGTAACGTGATTTATTAATAATAGTTTATGTATATAATAGCGAGAACCCAAAAGACCTAGAACGCGATGATCGAGACGAATCAGAACGGTATGGGTTCTCGAAAATTTCGGGATTCCCGAAAGTTTCTAAACTGTTCGCGATTCTCGAGTATGTTCGGGTTTCTCTATTGTATGGAAATTCTCGAAAACATTCAGGATTCCTGAAAATTCTCCAAAATGTTAGGAATTTCTAAAAATTTCGAAGAATTAATTATCGTTACGAGACTCAACAAAATTAATCGTCATGTGAGATTTTCGATATTTTACGCATTCTCGAAGATCAGAATATAAAATTTATTCACTTATTCTAATTTCTTCTTCTTAGAGAGCTATTGATTGGTAAGTGAGGTAGAAATAATATACCAAAAAGTAATAATTAGCCTTTTTGTACGAATATTTGAAATAAAACATACGTGCACCTCCCGGATCTTTTCGAGAATCCCGAGAAAAATTCTTGTCCTGATCCGACCCGACATTTTCGGATTTTCGCGCACCTCTAGTAAATAATAATTATTGAAATTAGTAGATACCTGGTCATGAGATCTTCAATTGGCTTTGGACAACCTTCTATTAAAGGGGGTCTTTGCCCAACGTGCACTGCCCACATTATTCTGTAGGCTGATCCACCGATCTCATCAAAAGGTTTCTTCCTCGATAATATCTCCCATAAAATGACACCCCAACTAAACACATCACATTTTTCCGTGTACCTGGAACCTTCAAATACCTCCGGGGCCATCCACGCAGCAGACCCCTTATTGTTAGTCATGTAGGTATTCAGATCGCAAGCTGTACCGAAATCACAAATTTTTAGGGTGTGTCCACCCATTACTAATAACAAATTCGGTGGTTTTAAGTCTCTGTAAAAAGAGAATGGAATTAATGGATTTAAAACTGAATAACTTTTTAAAATCGGATCAAATAATAGGAGTTTTTATTAAAAGTTGTGTAAAAAAATGTAGAGATCGCTATTTTCAACTTTTTCATCTGCGCTTGCAATAAAAATTTGAACAACAAATTTCGAACATTTGTATAAGATAGGTACATGCTGAAAACTTCATCGAAATCCGTTGGCGCCGAAGGAAACGACAAGCGTCGAAACATGTAGATTTTAAGCCAAAAATCGAAAAAATTGCAATTTTCATCACCTTTACTTAGTTATAACTCATAACCAATTTCGATGTTGTTCAAATTGTCATTACAAGCCCAAATAAAAAAGTTGAAAAACAACCTTCACTTTTTTCTTTACAATTCCTACTAATTTTAATTTTTTTGAAATTCTCTTCACACATCACATAGTAAACTAATCCATCTAGTTATTTAAAAAAATTCAGATTCTTTCGTTCAACTTGAGAAAAATTATTTAGTTCTAAAAAGTATTGGTTCAATTTTGCTCTTTACTGTATTTTCTTTGGAAAAATATATTTTATTTTACCTGTGGATCAAAGGTTTGGGTTTCATATTATGGAGGTATGCGACGCCACGTGCACATTGTAATGCCCAGCTCATCGCATGACCTGCTGTGTACCTTGGCTGGGGATTGCAATGTAAAACTGAAATAAAGTATTACACATAAGCATACTATAGTATTATTGACCAGCGTTCCCTGTCGCGGCTTCACCCACGACATTTCTCCCTTTGCATCTAAAGTCAGTACAGAGCGGTTCACCGAAATGTAGCCATCTAAGTATCTCCTTCATTTGCGATGACAGGAAGATTATTTTGTATACAATGTAAATGGCATCAAAGATGAATGCATTGCACATGTTCTTTTCTGAGCCATCGTTATAATTTTTAGCAACTTCCCACTCGTCACTGTTAAAAATCAGTGACATTGGTGTAAATGAATGTTATATTTAATTTCAAAATAAAAATTTTGTGACTCAGAAGTCACGTTTAAGTCATATCACTAAAATGTTTTTATGCGTTTCAATGTCAACTATAATATACCAAAAGAAGAAATATACATTTACAAGAGAAAAATATTAGTGACGTTAAAAATGTAGAATAAAATGATGTTGAGAAAAGAAAAGGTCTTGTAAAATATTCAACTTTTCATTTTGATTACCATTTGCATAACATAAAAAGAATTTTACCTATCATCGTAAATCAAAGAGATATTTAGATGTCTATATTTTGGTAAATCAGCCTGTATTTGGAAGTATAATATTTAATATTTGGCAGTAAATATTTTTCCGAGATTTTTTTTAAGAAGTCTACTGATTTTTATAAAATATTACGATAAGCTGAAGAGACCACATAAATAATAATAGTCCTAAAAAATTTTTCTTAAAATGTGATTGCACAAATAGATTCTATAGAAAAGATTGTAAAGTAAGAAATTAGTATATTCCTATGCTCTTATGTAATTTGTACTCAATGTTCTCTATTTTTTAGCAACAAAAGCGTTAGAAATACAATTTTCACATACAGTACATTTTCCTCGTAATTTTCTTTGTAAAATCACATTTTGAGAAATGTAATTTTTTAATAACGAATTAATTGTTAAAACAAATAATAAATAAATGATTAATTATACAAATGTCTGTACGTAAATATGTTTACGCGTCGATCAGGCATGAGAATACGAATGTGCGTATAGAATTTCGACTCCATCTGTGTCTCAATAGTTTTTGCGTGATAGAATGATAAACATCCACTCACATTAATGTCCAGTGCAAAATAGAATAACATTTTTAATATGGGATCAAACAACATCATTTTTTTAGGATGCTAAGCGGCCTGATTTATTACACAATATGTAACAAAAAATTGAAAAAAAATACTGCTATTCGTTAGAAACTTGAAGAAAAAAGAAAAGAGCATGATTTTTAAATTTTTTTATTAGGATTTCCAATAAAAGTTTGAGTCAGTCCATTTGTAGATCTCACTAAGTTATATCCATGTACAAAGTTTCATAAAAATCGGTGTAAGCATAAAAAAATTAGACGATATTGAAACGTAAAAATTCGTCAATTTAACTCAGTTGTAAATAAAATCTTGGAAAAATTCTTAACTGCTCCGAGCTATAACCGATTTATGAAACTTTATACATGCGTGTAATTTAATTAAATCTACAAACAGGATATCTCAAATTTTTATTAGAGATCATAAAAAAGATCTCAAATAAAAACAACACAAAAGATCAAACAGTTTTCTAACATCCCACAGAAAATTAAGTTGTTTAGTATAA